AGGGAGGCTAAAGACAACACGTTTCTCATCTTCTGGACCTAAAGGTATGGTAAAGAAACAGTCTTTCAAATCTATAATGACAAGATGATAATTCCAAGGAATCATAGTAGGGGTGGGGAGGCCAGATTGAGTGGCACAAATAATTTCCAGAGTTAAATCGACTGCCCTTAAATCCTGCAATAATCGCTATTGGCCTGATTTCTTTTTTATCACAAAAATCGGAGTATTCCAAAGATTCCCAAGAGGAGAAGGTAATGAGTACGTTACTACACTGCAAAGGACTTTGGAGGGGCATGAGGACCTTCGTACTCTCCACTGCCTTCTCCTCCTCTGCCGCCATTGCCTCTTGAGTATGAGCAAGAAATAGAGGGAGGCTCACAGAGCTCAGCAGGTTAGGGGAGGAAAGGGCAGTCAGGAATGGACTTTAACTGGCTGAGTCGGCACCACCATGGAAGTTACAAATACTGATGATGGGAATATGTGAGTATGTGCATGACCTCTGATCTATATTTGTCTGTGTTATATGTCATATGGTGGTGGATAAGAAGTCTAATCATGATGGAAAGGAAGATGTATGTTTTTGTTAAAGAAGGTATGAAGTATAGAGATTTATTTTGAAGGAAATGAAAGGAAAGGTGTTTGTGTTAAAGTTGGTCATTTCTAAATGAGTGAGAAGAGGCAAATTGAAGGAATGAAGAAAGTAGTAGAAGGGTTATAAAAAAAAAATCCTGAGAGGAAATGTTATGTGATTAAACTAAACAAGATTGGAGATTTAAATGCCAAAAGTAAACAAATGCAAAATTAAAGTTGTGTTTTAATGTTTCTTAGGCTATTAGTCTGCTACTGATGTTAGGAAAAAGTGCTCTGAGTAGAAAACAAGGATTCTGTGCTTAATCAAAGTAATTTCTGTGTTTTATGTTGCATCGACCAGTTTTCTGAGGCTTTTAGAGAATATACTAACATTAGCCCAAAATCTGAGGGCCAGACACTCCTGGCTATACATTTCATAACTTGGTCTGTGCTCGATATCAACAGAAGCTCCAAAAGTTGGGGCCTAAACCACAAGTCCGTAGGTTACCTTGGTGCCAGAGGTCTGGGATGGGGCCCAAAATCTGAGGGCCAGACACTCCTGGCTATACATTTCATAACTTGGTCTGTGCCTAATATTCAAAGGAAGCTCCAAAAGTTGGGGTCTAATCCCCAACCCCACAGGCTGCCTTGGTGCCAAAAGTCTTTAAGGTGTCCAATAACTGGGACTGGGCAGAGAAGAAGCAGAGTACCAAAAGGGAGCAAATTTTAGCTACCATAATACAGGGACCATCTCGAGGTGACCCTAGGCAATAAAAACCTTGCAGGCCTGGAAGGCTTCAATCTTGATTGGCCGTGAGTGGCATTGTCGGGACTTAGACATAATCAATGTGCAAACTGCAGAAGGAAGGGCACTAAAAGGGCAAATGTTCATCCAGCCCTGAGAAGTCGGGGAGGGGCGGACCTCATAAGCCCTCACCCCACATAGCAAGCCTCTCATGAACGAGCTTCTCTCTCCAACAACAGAGGCTGAAGCGCTTGCAAGCTCCAGTCCTAGGAAAATCCACCACGATCACAGCGGTGGAATCTCAGGTCACCACTGGCATGGCAGGAAGGAAAACCTGAATATTTACTAGGTACTAGAGCTCCCTACTCTATCCTGACTCATCCCATGGGCCTCTCTCCAATGCTAACTGCACAGTGACAGGAATAAATACTCAGCCCTTAAGGCAAATAGAAAGGCCCTACCAAGTTTTGTTAAGTTCCTAAATGCTGTCAAATTATAAGGAATCAACAGTTGGGTGCATTTATCTTGAATTAACCAAGTTTCTTATAAGTCTTCACAGGTTCCTCCAGAATATCAACCGGAAAGTGTGACCTAGTCCTATGAACCCGCAGAAGATCTTAAGCTCTTATTCTGGAAACTAGATAAGTCCACATGTCCCAGGGAATCAGGGAACTTTTGTGTACCTTGAATTAACAAGCTGCCATGAAAACGTAACTTCGTTGTCAATTACCTCTACTATTAACTTTGACTTGTCTTTTCTATCTTTTTGCTAAATTTATATCTTCTAGGTTACCAGGCTTCCTCCTATTTCTACATGCTGGAGTGACTTCACGTTGTCTGCTTCCGGGGCCTTTAGAATAGGCTTTCAGAGATTTTTATTCCCAGTAGGCAGGGACTACAGCCCTATCTCAGCTTTGAAGAAGTTACAGAAGACAGACCTTCCTCCCTCAACATCCCCTTAAGATTAAGGGAATAAAATCTCTGAAGGGAAATAATGTAGGGAGGAGGCAGGAAAATTGAGGTGTTGGTCGGGCAACATTTAGAGACTACAATGCCTGTGAATGGGATTAAAATAGTTAAATTACATTTACAAGGGATATGGACTGGCAATAATGCCAGTCTCGATGTAGCTAATCTTCATAAACATATTCTTGACATCCAAAACAGTAGAGCCTGCAGAATTGGCTGAGAAAACTTTAGATGATTTGAGAGGCTTTAACCCTTAGAATTTTCTTAAACATCCTGCCCGGTACTTATTTGGTCTACTATTATTGCTGTTAACAAACTTCAAATACAAAAGCAAAGAGGGGGAGTTTACCCCACGACTCCTCAAAATATATTAAATATGTACTTTTTAATTTAAAATTTTTAAACACAGTTGATGATAGTCGAACAGCTGCAGAAAGGTTCTGGTCTTTGGGGACTCCACGAGCAGTAGTTCATTGGAAAGATCCATTAGCTAATGAATGGCATGGCCCAGATCTTGTTTTAGTATGTGGTCGGGGGCATATCGTGTTTTTCCTCACGGTGCAGACAGACCTCTTTGGCTGCCTGAGAGGCTGGTCAGGCATTATGAAGATGGCGGATGGATCGGATCCGGAGAAGCTCACCTGGAGGGTACGTAGCCTCTTTGATGACCATCCTGAAAGGACACATTCCAAAGGACTTGTGGCGAGCTTTTGCAGCTTTGGTGTTTGTTAATCTATCTGATTTGTCTACTGCAGATAGATACAGGGTTCGAGCCTGTGTTGCTTTCCCTTATGTTTTTCTAATTGGACAATTGCAAACAAATGCTTTGTAGGAGGAAAATACACCCCTTTCCTTCCTCTGGGACAATTGCAAACAAATGCTTTGTAGGAGGAAAAGATCTCCTTCCTCTGAGATCTGATCCCATCTGATCCCTATGTACTTCGTGAGATCTGATCCCATCTGATCCCTATGTACTTCTTGATTTTTTCTGTTCTTTGCCTAATTCTCTTCTTCCTTTTTTTGGCCTTTTTTGGTCCATTGTCACAGTATCTCTGCCTCTTTCTTCCACCTCCCTTGCTATGCAATTCCACCTTCCAGGCCTTGTTCCAAACAGAGATCTTTGAATTCAGCCTAGTCTTTAGAGCATCTCCCTGCTCCATTGGGAAATAGCGATTTCCCTCCCTAACATTCCCTCCCCAACCCCACATTGGATGCTATGCTCACACCGTACCCTGAGCTCTGCATGTTTATATGGTTTCTTTGCTTCTTGCTATAGACTAAACGTTTGTGTCCCCTGAAAATTCACCCGTCGAAATCCTAACCCCCAAGATGATAAGATGAGGAGATGGAGCCTCTGAGAGGCAACTAGGTCACTGGGACCCAGAGAGATCCCTCTTCCTTTCCATCACGTGGGGTCGCAGCTAGAAAGCACTGTCTGTGAGAAAGCAGACCCTCTCCGGACACCGAATCTGCCAGCGCCTTGATCTTAGACTTCCCAGCCTCCAGATATGTGTAAGAAATGAATTTCTGTCATTTTGTATTATAGCCGAAACAGACTAAGACATTTGTCTTTGCCCCCCTCTGAAATTGTCCAAAATTGGTTTTCCGTTTCTTGCTCTGTTCTCGTAATCCTTAAATTGTTTCTTCATTCTCATAAGTTAAGCTTTTATTCTCTATAAAGTCTTCTAAATTCACATTTCCTTTAATATTTTCTGATCTGTACACTTGTGCCACATGTATTACTGTCTTCACAGAAACTCCGAAATGAATTTAGACTTTTTGTTCAAGGAACTAAAATCATCTTCCCTGCAAGCATATTTCTTCCATCTTTTTTTTTTTTTTTTTAAGTTTAGGGTCTTCTAACAGTTTAGAAAGATGAGTCTCTAATAAAATAGGTTAAGAAAGAGCAGTGGTGAAGTCCAAAGAAAGAGGTGGTGAGGTTGGAAACCTGAGAGAGGCTTGTTCTCCAGAAGCAAAACTAGAACGTCTTTCAAGAAAGACATAGCTGTAAACGTTATTTGCAGCAGTTGCTGATTCATGGAGTGTGATATGAACTAATGGCAGGTATATGATGATTTTAGTGTTTTCTTCCCATTCATACACACTGTGTGTGTGTTTGTGTGTGTGTGTTTCAGAGAGAGAAAGAGAGTCTGAGCAAGAGATTAGAGAGACTCAGTGTCTGTCTGAATACAAAAGGGGGAGAGCAGAAAAGGAATAGGATCCCCAAGATAAGTAAAATAAAAGGCAGGAGCACCTTGGTCTAAGATGGAGGGAGATGAAAGGAGGCAAGTTCCCCTTGGGGTATATTATAGAAGAAACCTTTTATGTATTTCTTTGTTCACAGGCTTACCACCTTTAAGAGTTGCCATTTCAAAGATCCCCCATCTTTTCTGTGACCTGCTTCATTGGACATGTGATTTTCCTGATCTTTTTCATTCTTTCTTTCTTTTATGAGTAGGTTCTTGTCCTCTGTCCTCTATGCACAGTGTTTCCCTTTCTAGCCTTGAGTCTTGCTTAGAGAAAAAGAAATAGGAAATTTGCTATGCGGTAGCTGTATTACATTTCCATCACAAAACCTGAATTTTCAGGTATATTCACTCCAACATATATTTTTAAACACCTAAATTTAGCCATCTTGACACTTATTTCATTCTGTAATGCAGTCATTAGATAATTGAGAACAGGAAACTCTCGTGATTGATTTGTGTTTTACAAAGATCACCTTGCCTGCTCTAGGAAGACAAGATAGTACAGACCAAGAGTGTAAGCAGGGACAATTCTAGCATCCTAGGCCAGAGACTGAGCCAGCATAGGATTGATGGAGGAGTAAGAGAAGATGGAACTGACTACCTGCTTTGGCCTGTGGTTACATTAACGGTGCATTCTGAGAATTGTAAAGGCATAGGGGCTGAACATAAAATGAGCAAGCAGGTGAACCTGGCATCTGTGCAACAGCCTGTGTTCTCAAGATCTTTGATTCCTGGCATTGAGTGAGCCTTCTAACTCATGGCTTGGGCTGGGGGGATGGGGGGTGGGCAAGAAAATGTGAGCCGGAGCAGGGTTAGAAATGGATACTAAGTCCTGCAAAAGCCTGGCAGAGAATTTTTCGTGAGAACATGGCAAATGCATAAGACTGTGGCATATCCAGTTCTTTGAAATCATTTTATTTTTTGCTTGTTTGTAGCAGTTTCGTTTGCAATATCATAAAAACCTGGAAACAACTCAAAGGTCCACCGAACAGTGATCAAACACATTTTGGAATACCCATACAATGAAACACTAAGCAGCAAAAAGGGGTGGACTTGATACTTCAAAACAATTACATTGTGTGAAAGATGCCAGATATAAAGAGTAGATATAGTAAAATTCTATTCATAAAATGTGAGAGTGTCAGAAGGTGGTTCAGTGGCTGCCTAGGCCGTAGCAGGTTTTGTACTTGGGCGGGGTAAGGGGCATGGCTGGGAACATGGAAAGAGGCTCACGACGTCCATCGCTTCTGCTCACTTTGTAATCAATCACTGCATCTCCCATACGATCTCACTTTGCCAAAGGTTGCTAGTCTTCCAAAAGCACTGCCACCTGCCGGTTCCACGCCGAACTCCACAGAAACCGTTCTGTGCGGACACCGAACATCCCCCCAAGATGGCCGCGCCCATGGTGTTCCTGCATAACGGCGCTAACGCTCTCCTACAGCGCGCCGCCAGCTATTTTGTCAAGCACGCTTAACTTTAAAATCGGAATTTAGTGACTGAAGTACTCAGAAGTTGCTTTAATTCCCACCGATCGCAGGCGTCACAGCCGTAATGGCCGCTCAGGACGTGCGCTGCGCCCTTTTGATCGTGACGGGCTCCAGCCTTTGAAACTTCTGCGCCCTTCGCCGTCTCCTACGACAAACGATTTTACCCCCCACGTCATGGTTGCCTTCCAGCCTCTGAAAACCTTTCTCCTTTCCTAAAGGCTGCTGCAGCGCCTCCAGAAATGGGAGTTTCGGGGACGGCCCCATTGTCGCGTCGTACGGTCACTTATGGCAAAGCCTGTGTACGGCAAGCCTGTAGGTCAGACGTCCAAAGATGGCGGCCCCCAGGGCGCCGCGGCGGAGGCGGCGGCGCGAATATATGACCTCATAAGCAAAAGCCGGGAACCCGTATTCCGTTCTCCATAGAAACGCGACAGAAACGCCGCGGACCTTCGACCTCCGTTCTCAGGACGGGAGGCCAGAAGCGGAGGAAGTCGAGGGAAGTAAGTTAGGCCCGGAAGCGGTCGCCGCAGGTTCGGGAGCGAGTCCGGCCCGTCTGTGGATCCGTCTGCAGAAAGGGCTGGGGCGGGGGACGGGCCGTCGGGCCCCGGGTCGGCGATCGCGCTGGGCGTCTGTGATCGGGGTGTCTCCGGGGTCAGGGCTGAAGGTCTCTGAGGGTCTCTGTTCCTGTGGGTGACTGACAACCCGTGCGGTGAGGTTCGTCATTGACCGCGGCGCCTGGATCGCGTTCCGGAATAAATCGGAGCTCAGGTCCGCGTAGATGTGCATCCGGTCTGCTTGGGGCGTGAAGCCGTGAGCGGGGTGGCGGCCACTGTCCTTTGTGCCGAGATGTGTGACAGCAGAAGGCTCGGAGGCACAGGGGCCCGGGGCTGGATCGTGTGCTGAGCTCAGGCTGCTGGAACAGGCTCGCCGAATGAACATTTACATTCTCCAGACGCTTCGGGTCCGAGTTCCTCCTCCACGACTCATTTTCTCATTTTTTCTCGGCTCCCCACATCATCCCAATCCTCGAAACCCGCAGAAATATAACTTTTGGGGTGGATGAACCATTCGACATATTTAAAATTAATAAGACTTCTTTATTTAAGAGTGTTTTTATTTTTTTCCTCCTGCAGGTTTCCTGCATATTTCCTTCCAGGTTCTGTATGTAAATATATAAAGGCTGCTATTTCCCAGTATTTGTATTTTTGAAATATTTCTGAAATTTTTCATTTATAACTCATATTCCTTCTCTCCTATTTTTGGTGTGCTCATCGTTCTAATGTTTGTACGCAAACGGTGTATAAAGACCGTTAATAAGGTCTGAGGACGACATAGTTTAAAGGAAAAATTGACAGTTTCTCGACATTCATGTGACTTCGTTCCTATCACTGTTCTGAAAATTACCCGCTACCGAGGCACGATGTCGTGTTGGTTCTCCTTTGCCAATTTCCCGTTCACGTTCATGCTACGTTCACGCGTTGAGGGTCTTATGTTTCATTAACCTCAAGTGTGCTCTCTGGGGAACTAAAGAGATAAATACTGGGGACCATGTATTAAGGTGAGCGTAGAGCAAGGGGAATATAACCCTGAAAGTAATTTTGCTCTTCATCTCACAGGTTCTGGCAAGAAATGAATGAAGAAAGAGGAGGTTCCAGGATCTAGGTGTTGTCCTTTCTGGGGATGCTTTCGACTGGCGAATGAGATTTCCAACTAGAAATTTAGGGCATATCCAGAAGAGACAAAGACAGCATCGCAGTTGCCGGCCATTTCCCCAAACGGAAGAAAATGATCGCATCCCAGGTGACTTTTGTCTTGTTTTATTCTGTCCTTTATTCCCTTGTAGAGACCTGTAAAAGATCAGTATCTAGAGAAAAAGAAACTTTGAATATAACTTTCGGTTCCGTACCTAGAGAGAAATTTTAAATCTAACTTCAACAAAGTAGTAGGGTTCACGTCATTCCTTGTAAATGACTAACATTGGAACATGACGTGTAACTGAAGCATCCTCTGGGTTACAGTAGCTGCCAGCTTGCATCTAATATCTGTGGTCACCACCCCGGAAGCTCTCTGAACCTGTTGTTTATGGAGTTTTATGGTGTTTTCATTACGTAGGCATGATTAGATCGCTGGCCACTGATGACTGAACTTGAGCCCAGTCCCTCCTCCCTCCCTGGAGATGGGGGGTCTTTATGGCGACCAGCCCCCAGCCTGAAGCGCTCGGAGCCCCCAGTCACCACTCATCTCATTCACACACAGAGGACACTCTTATCACTCCAGAGACCCCAAGGGTTTTAGAAACTATGCCAGGAACCAGAGACAAAGACCACATATCTGTTTATCACAACATCTTTTGGCTTCTTTTGTCTTTATTTCAAGTACGTTCTGTCTAATAGCGATGCATCTCTTCTTTCTCGTTGTTTCTATAATGTGACTTTTGCAGGTGGCGTTCTTTAGTTTCAGCCTGATGGGTCTCCATGCATATTTCCTGCTTGGCTTTGTTGGCTTACTAATCCTGAGTCATAGGATTTTTAATCAGTTCTGAACATTTCTCATTCCTTAGATCTTTGTATTGCTTCTCTGTTTCTCTATAACCCCTTTCGAAAACTACGTACAGGCCTATGTTAGACCTCAGTCTGTCCTCCATATTTATTAAACTCTCTTTTATATTTTCCATCTCTGTGTGTCTGCTTCATTTTTGGTTATTTTTTTAAATGCACATTCCAGTTTACTAATTACCTTTAGTGTATCCAATATGATGTTAACCTTTTATGAAATAGTAAGTATATACATTGGTCTCTTGTCAGTCTCCCTCCCCCTCGCCCCATTCCTGGCACAGAACTCCTAAAAAACCTTTGTAATTTGCTAAGTGATAAGATAGGAGCATCTTTGTCCTAATATTTGGTCTGTGACCTCCGCATTTCCCGACAGTTTCTAAGTCCCTTGGAATTTCATGAGGGATAGGAATGTCTTTGTTCTACTGAGGTGACTCTGGGTGGCTCCTGGTTCAGGGTTGGTCACCAGAAATAACAAGCTGTGATTAGAAGCTTAGAATTTTCAATTCTATTCCCCATTATCCAGAGAGGGGAAGAGGGTTAGAAATAGAATGAATGATCCATCATGCCTACGTGATGGAGCCTCCATACAAATCCCAGGAGTATGTGTTTTGGAGAGCTTCTGGGTTGGTGAAGACATGGAGATGCTGGGGGAGTGGTGCGCCCCTTCCCACATACCTGGCCCCGTGCATCTCTTCCATCTGGGTGTTCATCTGTGTCCTTTATCATGTCCTTTTATAATAAACTATTAAACATAAGTAAAGTGTTTTTCTGAGTTCTGTGAGCTGCTCTAGCAAATTAATCAAACCCAAGGAGCGGGTCTTTGGAGCCTCCCATCTATAGCTGGTCAGTCAGAGGACAGGTCACAACCTGGACTTGAACTGAAGTCATGGGGCGGGGAAGACAGTCTCGTGGGACTGAGCCCTTAATCTGTGGGATCTGACACTGTACAGTGTCAGAACTGAGTTGAATCGTAGGACACCCAGCTGGTGTTGGAGAGTTATTTGGTATGGGTTGAAAAACAAACATACACATAGGAATTGGTGTCAGAATCATAGTTAATATGAGCAGGTTTATGATGTTATGAATCAATAAAAAAAGAAAAAAAAAAAAAACCAGGAATGTTTATTACAGGAATTGCTGACACTGGAGGACGTGGCCGTGGACTTCACCTGGGAGGAGTGGCAGCTCCTGGCCCCCGCTCAGAAGGACCTGTACTGGGACGTGATGTCGGAGAACTACAGCAACCTGGTGTCAGTGGGTGAGACAGCTCCCCTGTGTCACTCCGAGGGTGCCCGGTCAGAGGTCTTGCCTTTGTCAGCTGCTTACACTTTGAAGTCACCGCAGTGCCCCTTCATTTTCCACAAGCAGGGTATGAAGTCAGCAAACCAGACGTGCTCTCCAAGTTGGAACGAGGAGAAGAACCGTGGACCATAGAACATGAAATCCACAGTCCCGTCTGTCCAGGTGAGTGGGAGAACCAACAGGCTGGTGTGGGGGAGGAAAAATAATTTTCCTTTTACCCTTCTATGTTCTTCTGGCTGGGCGAATGACTAAATTGATGTGACACAGATCCACAGGAGGAAATAACCAAATTTGTTATGTATGTATGTACGGGGCTTTTAAAAACATGGGGCCCGAGGACAGATCGGGCAGTTGAGAGTTATATGCCATTTTGAGCTAAGGAGTGGGGGTTGTAGTTTGGGACTTCAAAGGGGAGGAAAGCAAAAGATGGGAAAGCCAATGCTTGGTGAACAATTGTTCACTGGGCCATCTTGAATAAGGGGACACAGAGACGACTTGGGTCAAAAGGGCCTTGCTAGGTTCCTCCCTGTCCATCACACTGGTTCATAATAAACTGTGGTTATCTCTGATGACAGGTCCCTTCCTGGAGCACGTGCTCTGTCTAAATTCTTACAGGTAGTAAGGGGGAGGGTCAAAGCTTCTTCTTGAGTCTTCCATTTCTAAAAATAACCAGCTTAAAATAATCAGTATCCCAAAAGGCATATGTGTCCCATCATGGATAACTACAGAAATCGTATTCTAGTCGGGGAAGGCTGGCAGGCGTTTGAGGATACAGAAACCATACCTCCATCTCTCCCCAGAGCAGAACTCTCTTTTAGGTCTTTTGAGGGCCAGAGGCCCCCTTTTTTCGCTTCTGTAATCTGATCCTTGCTTATTTTATCTGACAACTTGATTTTTTTTTGTCTGTCTGCCTAGTTTTCTTCTTCCTTGGCTTCTATAACCTACCTCTTTGTATCATCACCACGTCTCTCCCTGTTCCCTCCACCCCTCTGGCTATGAAATTCCACCTTCCAGTCCTCACTCCAAAGCGAGATCTTTGAATGTATCGGTCTTCTGACGAGTGCACTGTCCTTCTCCTCTGGGAACTTAGCGGCTTCCCTTCCTAACCGCCACCCCTACCTTCCACGTCGTGCCCTCACGGTCACCTCATCTCTTACTGTGCATTAATCTGCTTCCTTGGTTTCTTTCTTCCCCCATTCTGAGGTTCTTCAGTGGTTTTATTTTCCTTTTTTTTTTTTTTTCCTGTGGTACTCCTTAACATTTTCCTTCAGTCTCATGAATTCAGTTCTTTCTGTTTCTCTGGATGAGATTCCAAATTGATATCTCCTATTAATATTGTCTAGCATACATTTTTAGTTCTAAATATTTTACTGGCCTGAGATTTCTGAGTTCCTGCGTGAGTAACAGGAATCATCTTCCCTCCACTAAAACCCTTCCCACTACCTTATTTTAATATTAGATTCTCCTTTACTACAGTTCACCTTCTAGACTGTCCACGCTGGTGTTATCGTGAATGTTCTACAGCTATGAGGTTCTCGTCTTAAGGGTCTCTGCTGTTCCTGTTGGCTGTTTAACTAGAAAAGACTGTTTTACATTCTATATCAGTTCTAGCCCAAATCATGGTTCCTGTCTGTCTCAATTTACTTCCTTTGTACCTTTGATAGTTCTGATTTTCCTTTGGTTCCTCTTAGGTGTTAGCATTGTATTCATTTCCCTAATCATTTGTTTTTCCCATCATATTCTTCTTTGTTTATTTTAAACAGCTTTATTTAGATAATTGACATACCTTACAAGTTGCCAGCTTAAATCATACAATTCAGCGCTTTGCAGTTTTTCAAAAGTTATATAACCATATCACAATCGATATTGGAGGATTTTCATCACTTATAACTTTAAAAAAAAAAAAATGCTTTTCTTAAGCCCCAGCCTAGGCAACCAACCACTAATCTTATATCTCTATAGATTTGCCTGTCCCGAATATTTCATATAAATAGAATCATAAATTATGTGGTCTTTCATGCCTGCTTCTTTCATGGAGCATGCTTTTGAAGTTCTTCCATGTTTTAGCATGTCTTAGAACTCACTTCTTTTTTATTGCCAAATCAAATTCCATTGCATGGATCTGCCACATTTTATTTACCCTTTTTTCTAATGATGGACATTTGAGTTGTTTCCACTTTTTGGCTTTTATGAATTATGCTGCTATGAACATTCATGTACAACCTTTTCGCGAACATACGCTTTAGTTTTTCCTGAGTATACACCTAGCAGGGAAATCCTTGGGTCACATGGAGTTCAGAAAGGGTCCAGATATGCTGCATCTGGACTCGTGGACAGTATTGCCTCCTTCTGGCCATGATATGTGACAGTACACACAGGGTATTGCCAGCTAGGGAAGCTCACTTGAGCTTTCTGGGTGAAGTTAACTCTTCACTGAAGATAACTGTAAAAATGAATAATAAAGAGACTAATTTAAAAAGTCAGAGGAAATAGAGCCCATGGTGGTAGAATGGGATAACAGCAAGATATGTCTGAGGTAAGTCTACATTTTGAATTAGGAAGATGATTCTATGAATTAGGAATGAAGGCATGAAGCAGGAAATGTGTGAGGCCGTGGCGTTGACCAACAAAAGAGTGGCCTGAAGTCAGGCAAAGGAAGACCATTGTTAGAAGGTCTCTGCAGGAGAAGTAGTGGAGTGGAAATACGGGGGGGGTAAATGGAATATTCATGGAGATGTGCACTTTTGTTGCCAAGATGACTGTCTGGATTTCATATGTGAGTAATCGAGGTGGCCTGGTGGAGGATTGGCTGGTTTCGCATTTCTGTGGTTCTGCGTTGCCTGTCTTTTCACCTGGGAGGTGGTAGGATAGCAGTAAGAAAGAGCCAGATGTTCTAAAAAAAACTGAAGGTAAAGCTGACACAATCTAGATCTTCAAAGAGGGTCAAGGCTTTAGTATAACCTAACTGTTGCCAACTGAGACATAAATATAGAATTACTGAAGTAGATGCTGCTGGTGGCAAATGAGGGAACACATGTCAGGGATGTCGAAGTGGGAAAAGTTTGGATATGACTTTTGTACTGAATGCACAACGTGACTGAAAAAGGTGACAGTTGCCATAGACCATGCAGGACATTAGCTTCTGAAGATCACCGTGTGGTACTCTGGCCAGCTGCAAAATTTCCTGTCAATCACCATTGCCCTGTTTCCTTATGAATGGAACATATGACCCAGCTAAAAGCTGGAATATTGATTTTACGAGTTGTCCGTGCAATGTGATTGATGTTTCTGGAAGGTTAGCTTCATGGTAGTCTACAGAAGGGCAAATTTAGGAACAGGATTACAGTGCAAGAGTCTGTCTCAGCTTACTCTAATTCAAATTCCAAAGACCTTACATTTTTACTTGCAAGGTAACAAGCATATTTATTCTATACACCTTAATGTGTATATTTCCCTCATGTCTGTAGTCAGAATTTGGTTCTTCTAAGTGGACTTAAAAATCCCCAGACTCTAAATGTTGGAATGTCTCAAACTTTGGTTTGTGCCTTCATCATCTTTCATTCTATGTGTCCTCCCAACATATCGCCCAGTTCTCTTTTCTTAAGAGATACATGTTGCTTATTTCTACATTTATACCTCCAACTGGATCTTGATGTCTGTACTACATATTTAATAATCATCTCAAAGTTTACATTCCACAGTGCATACTTTTCTTTTTTTTCTTTTTTTTACACATTCTGGACTTCAGTAATATTCCTCATCTTAATTCGAGATGCTTCTTTCTACCCAGTGACTTAGGTCATATAATCAGCAGAGTAATCCTGGATTCCTCACTTTCATTAACCACTCTCGCCACCGAATCTTGTCTTTACTCTCTGCAAGTATATCCAGATTTCTTGCACTTTCCACCATCTCCATTCCTCCTTGAAACCACATTTAATAATCTCCAACTCCCTTTTTTCTTTCCTTTTTCTTTATTCGGTTTTCTCTAACTAGATTTAAGATGAGTAAAAGTAGGGCATATTTTATATATTCCAACACGAGCATAGTGCCTAGTACCACTTGATAAATAGTTTTGGAGCGAACAAATGCAACCCTCAAAAGGAACATTTATACATGGCATTTCTCTTAGTGTTATCACAGGGTTGTCACCGAAGTGCCATTTTTTAAAAAAACACCAAGGCAGTTTCTAAATGGTTTTATCACAAACAAGATTATAAAAGGATTCATTGTTCTCTCCTTTCTCAGAAATTGACAAAGTCGATAATCATCTCCAGGGTCACTGGGAAAATCAAAGAATACTGAAAGGTATGAAACAAAACCACAAACAAAATGCACTTGGAAATATTGTTCCCCAAAGCCAAAGTCCTTTTCCTTTCAGGCAAAATCATGATATGTTTGAGTTTTATATGAAAACTTTGAAACCAAATTTAAGTTTGGTCAACCAGAGCAAAAGCTACAAACTCAAGAATTCTACTAACTTGAATGGAGATAGGAAATCATTTCTGCGTGATAATTGTGAAGAATTTCATCTTGCAGTTAAATTCCCTGTCAGTGCAAAACCCGTTAGCAATAAGTCCCAGGTCTTTAAAAATCAGAGAACTCGCGAAGTGGAGAAAACCCACGTGTGCAGTGAATGTGGGAAAGCTTTCATTAAGAAGTCTCAGCTCACGGATCATCAGAGAGTTCACACAGGAGAGAAACCTTATGGATGCAGTCTGTGTGAGAAAGTATTCTCCAGAAAGTCCAGGCTCAATGAACATCAGAGAATTCATAAAAGAGAGAAATCCTTTATATGCAATGATTGTGGCAAAGTTTTCACCATGAAGAGCCGTCTGATCGAACATGAGCGAACTCACACTGGAGAGAGACCCTATGTATGCAGTGAATGTGGAAAAGGGTTCCCAGGGAAACGCAATCTCATTGTGCATCAACGAAATCACACTGGAGAGAAATGCTACGTCTGTAGTGAATGTGGTAAAGGCTTCACTGGGAAGAGCATGCTCATCATACATCAGCGAACTCATACAGGAGAAAAACCCTACACCTGCACTGAGTGTGGGAAAGGCTTCACCACGAAGCATTATGTCCTCATACATCAACGAAATCATACAGGAGAGAAACCGTATATATGCAGTGAATGTGGGAAAGGTTTCACCATGAAAAGCCGTCTGATTGAACATCGGCGAACTCATACAGGAGAGAAGCCTTATGTGTGTAGTGAATGTGGAAAAGGCTTTCCCAGGAAGAGTAACCTCATTGTGCATCAGAGAAATCACACAGTAGAGAAATCCTACATATGTGGTGAATGTGGAAAAGGCTTCACCGTGAAGAGCATGCTCATCATACATCAGCGCACTCATACTGGAGAGAAACCCTACACCTGCAGTGAGTGTGGGAAGGGCTTCCCCTTGAAGAGTCGGCTGGTCGTACATCAGCGAACTCATACAGGAGAGAAACCTTACAGATGCAGTGAGTGTGGAAAAGGCTTCATCGTGAATAGTGGACTGATGTTACACCAGCGAACTCATACTGGAGAGAAACCCTATATATGCAATAAATGTGGAAAAGGTTTTGCGTTTAAGAGCAATCTTGTGGTACACCAGCGAACTCATACTGGGGAGAAACCCTTTATGTGCAGTGAATGTGGAAAAGGCTTCACCATGAAACGTTATCTCGTTGTACATCAGCAAATTCATACAGGAGAGAGATCCTGGATATGCAATGAATGTGGAAAAGGCTTTGCCATAGAAACCGAGCTCATTTTACATCAACAAATCCATACTGGAGAGAAACCTCACGCGTGCGATGAATGTGGAAAAGGCTTCGCTGTGAAAAGCCGTCTAATCGTCCATCAGCGAACTCATACAGGAGAAAAACCTTTTGTATGCAATGAGTGTGGGAAAGGCTTCTCCTCAAAGAGAAATCTCCTCGTACATCAGAGAACTCATAATGGAAACAGATCCTAACGGTGCAATGAGTACGGTGACATCTTTGGAAAGAAAATATGCCTCGTACAACATCAGAGACTTCACACAGGATAGACTACTTTTATGTATACTGACTGTGGAAAACCCTATGCATACAGTATTGGTCTCATGACCTAGCAGGGGATGTCCACAGGAGACAAACCGTATGTATGCAGTTAGTGTGAGAGAGCTTCAACACAAATTCGGCACTCAGTGTACATCAGAGAGCTTACAAAAGAGAGTTTTTTCCTGGATGGTGAATGCATCCATGTGCGAGAAGCTCCTACACTTGCAATCCTTCTGAACCTTACTCTATGCATCCCTTTATCTGGCTGTTCATTTGTATACTTTATAATATTTTAAAAAATAAACCAGTAAACATAAAAAGGACTTACGAAAGAGAGACCCTCTGGATTCAACGATTGGGGGTAACCTTTCTCTCATTTGTCACGCCTTGTTAAAACACAAATGTGTAAGTCAAGGAACATGATCCTTTGCAGAGAACCTGAAATTATTATATACAAGTGAACTCGAGCAGGGAACAAATCCTGAAAATTTGGTGAATTCATTAACTGTCAGTGTGCTCCTAGCATACTTCAATATAGTCAGTGTAGAGTAGCCTGCTGCTAGATTTTTACCCTTGGAAAATTATGGAATTTGCATAAGAGTGAAATTTAATGAATGCAGAGAATATGCTAGTGCCTTCGGTGATAAATTACCTCACACTGTATGTCAAAATTAACATACAGGAAAAAAACTCTGATACATTCAAGCAGAAAAGTCTTAAGGAAAGATTTTTAGGTAATTATATGTCTGAAAAGTATATACTAAGATAAATCTTATGAATGGAGAGACGAGGAAAGCCTTCTATGGGAATAAAGACTATCTCATCGATGATCATGAGATCATCATCGAGTTCATACTCAGTAGCAATATGTGATTGAGTGAAAGCTTTTGCCTAGAATTAACCTCAAGAGTTGCCCAATATACTGGAGAAAAATTTTCAGGTGGCAAAGAATATGGCAGAATTCATCATTTCTCATGAATTCATACAGAAATAAAACTGTTAGGAACACACTAAATGTGGAGTAACTTTAGCAGAATATCAGAGAATTCATGAAAGGGAGAAGCCTCATGAAAATGATATATACTTGAATTTTCTATCACAAGTCTAAATTTATTATACACCTGGCATCCATTCTGGGACGGGATACTTTGAACCACAGTCTCAATGATTCTATAGTTTTGAAGTAGACAGTTCTTATCACTGATTAAATTGTAATGTTATATACAAGCAGGAGTGTTCCGAGCCCACCCCATATCATTTTATGACTAGTTCTTGCATTTATTAGGTTCTAAACTTGTCCCTCTCAGTCTACTATGTACTTCAAAGGTAAACAGAATATACTCAAAAATGTAATTCAACATATTTGGATGTATCTATCCAAGTTTATAAGTAGCATTAGTTTACAAAAACACCTTAAATGTGATTTTTCTAAAATTTAGTTTGAAATAATTTTATACTCACAAGACTTTACAAAATATGCAAAGTTCCTGAGTACGTTTACTCAGCTTCTTCGGTGATATTATCTTACATAATCATCATACATCATCAAAACCAATAAAATGACAGTGGTACAATGCTGTTAAGTAAACTTATACCTTATTTAGATTTCACTAGTCATGCTTTCATTTGTGTGTTTCGTTTGTTTGTTTTTGCTTTGCTTTTTGGTGTAGAGTTCTAAGAAATTTTATCACATATACAGATTTCTGTACATCTCACCACAATCAGAAGGCAGAGTTGTGCCAACCCAAAGAGATGTCCTCCTGCTACCCCAGTATAGTCACACTGTTCCCCAGACCCTGACCTATGGTGACCACTGACAGTACTCCATCACTCTAATTTTATCATTTCAAGAATGCTATTAAAACGGAGTTATACAGTGTGTAACCTTTGAGCTAGGCTTTTAACCCCCTCTCAGCAAATTGTTTAAGATCCATCCAATTTGTTGGGTTTACACTTTTCCTTTTTGTTATTGAGTAGTATTCGTTGGTATTCTTATCCATTCACCGTTGATAGACATTTGGGTTGTTTCCGGTGTTTCACTGTTATCAATAAAAATAGTATAAACAAACGTGTAGCCAATTTTGTGTCAACATAAATTTTGTCTCTCTGGGATACATACCCAGGAGTCGCAGGCTAAGTTAGTGTTTAATTGTATAAGAAACTGACGAACTTTTTCAGAGGCTATACCCATTTACGTTCCCACCAGCAGTGTATGAATGTCCAGTTGTTCCGTGACCTTTCTAGCACTTGGCACTGTCATAATCGACTCTAGCTGTCCCCTCGGGTGTGTGGTAGTATATAACAGTGGCCTTAACTTCTCTTTCTCTAACAGCGAATAATGTTCAACATCTCTACATACATTGAGAACGCTATTGGTTAAAGTTGTCATTTTTGCTTTCGGCCATCAAACATAATTTTATCAAACTCCAAAGGAGAATAGCCTATTGTATCTGATGATATAGTTACCCTTTCCATTCCTTTTTCTTCATTCCGGATGTTGCACGTTTCCATTCTTTCCTTTTTGTCAGTCCTTCCGTTGTCAGTTCTTTTGGGGCAGGTGTGCTGACAACAAATTCTTAGTTTTCCTAGCAGTAGGGCTTGTCTTGTCTCGAACCAGAGTTATTTCCCTTGATATAATAAAGATGCTCAGTCCAGTTTACAAACAGTGAATCTTGCTTATAGCAAAAGAAACGGACACTTGCCATACACTCTTGTGGCAGAATTCAATCCCCAACTCCGTATTGAGTAATTCACTCCTTTAAAAATATGTTCTTGAGCATCTACGTGGTGCCAGCCACTACTTTAGACACATCAGTGAACAAAGTCACGGCTTCTATGGAGCACACAGTGCAGTGAAGGAGACTGAGTAAAATAAATAACATCATAGACTGTCAGTTCTGAAAAGCGCTATAAAGAAATATGAAGCCTAACACATAAACTGCAATGAAGGAGCTATTGTATGTAGTAAGGGTTTCAAAGGCGGCTTTTCTGGGCAGATGAAATTAGAACGAAGACCTAACTGTACTGATGGGAGCCAGCCCAAATATTTGTAAGCCAGAAACACTCTAGGGCTGTTTCTGTTTTCTCTGGGCTTCCTGTCTTAGGATTCTCCTAGAAGCTTATAAAATTTATAAATTCTTGTTCCGCACCCCCGACTGCCTAAACCAGAACCTGTCGGGCTGGGGTCTGGGACTCTAGGTTTATAAGATGAGCTTTCTGATATATTTAAGTTGGAACATAGCTGCCCTAAATCCTGCATTAGCGCTCCCATCACCGCCCTGACTCTGTAACAGGATGGATTCTGGGGAAATAAAGCAACGAGCTGGACATGAGTGCTGCCACCCAGGCACTCACATCCTTTCCACTTATCCTTCTGTGAACCTACACATGCTGCCCTTGCAAGGTCAGATCAGCTCATTCCTGAAACTGATCACTTAGGGTCCCAGAATGCCCAGGCTGCCCTGAGCTCTCTGGACCAGATTCTGAACTCACCTCTCAGAGCTTGACATCCCAGGAGACTGGAGCTGAAGTGTAGTCCCTGAAAGTAACATAATGCTCTTACTATTTAGAAATTACAGAAAAAAAATAAATTCTTAATGTATAGAAATTAGAAAACATAAGCAAATGAAGAAATCTTAAGTCACCTATAACTGTACCTAAGAGCCAAGCATTGTTAAAAAATATTTTTCCCCAAATTTTCGATGAATGTAAGTATATTTTTATGAAAGAAAAATAAGACGGCTCTATTATTCTACATCGTGAGATATTCTTTCGAAACTTTTGTAAAATCAACATCTTTTGAAAATTCTAAAGTAATACATAGTTATACAAAGATGAACAATGGAGATTTGCAAACCTCGGGAATGTGAAGACTTCTTCACATTCGGGAAATGTTTTATTTAACCAATCGCAATTTTCAAAAAGCAAACGTTTATGATTTGTTCCCAAAACAGTATTATAACATACATACTATCCTGCAGATCTGTTTTTTGTCCTCTGAAGAATAGTTATCTTTCCTTATTTATACTGATAATAGTAGTACATTCTTTTTAATTGCTATAAACTGTTATGCTGAGCGGATGTTCCATAATTCATCTATCGTGGTTTTCTCTTTTTTTAAATTAAACCACTGTGATTAATATTAAGAAAAAATTTTACCAATAAACTGTCGTAATTAGAACTGCTGGGTCAAAGAGAATAAAAATTTTTAATTGGTTCCAGGTTGCCTTTTAAAAAGGGGGTATCTTCTTAAATCCTCTACAATTAAACCCCTCTCGCCTGCCTAAAAATAACATTTTTAAGTGCGCTCTTTTCTTCTTGGGAACTATGCAAAATATAATAATTGCATTATCTCCTAATTTCATGTTCTTAAATGCCCTGTCATCTTCATTTATTTTTGAAAGGAAACATATATACATTTGCACCTTCCCTTCATCCCTTTCCCAACTAGAGCTAAGTATCCACTCCAACGTGGGGATTCGCGTTTTTATGTGCATGTTTTTGCTCCGCCCTATTGGTTTCGCGCTTTCAATAGCAGTTTTATTTCCTTATGAACTACAAAGGCCTTACCCACGCCGCGCCACAATCGCCCTCTACCCAGACTTAAAACTTTAAAGGACCTCTGCCTTGTCAACCGTGACCGCCGCCTCTCTAAAGACATATCGGCGTCTACAAGTTTCCCAAGGTCTGAGCCCATCTCTGCCGTACGGACACCTGCCTTCGTCTAAGATGGCCACTCCCTTGGTGCCCCAGAGTAACGTCTCAATTCCACAGTGTAGAAAGGGCGCCGCCATCTTTTCCGGCTTCCCAGCCGCTAAGCGCGCCACGTTGGCCTCGCATAGGCATCGGCCTCCGAAATCTTACGCAGTTAGCACAGCATCGTTGACCGTCCCCACCTCGAGGTAAAAGCATCGAGGTGGCCACGAATGATTGCGATTTCTCCCCATAGCCGTTACGGCCCCGCCCGTCACAAACGTCGGGGTGGGCGTGGCCACGTCACGTCATAGCGCGGGGCCCACGCTAGAACTCGGAAGTCCCGCCGTGATCCAAGGTCCTCGCGGGACTCTCTGGTACCTGCCGGTCAGCATCCCTAGGGACCGCGAAGGAGCCGAATCGAATAGCAGGTGGTTTGGAGCGAGGGCTCAGCCTTTGTCGCCGCCAGTGGTGTCACCGGAGAGTCTCGGGATCAGGTGAGTCGAGCTCTGGGCGCGGATTCACGGGGCACGGCCTGCGGAGTCCGTGATACGTGAACGTTCGTGGAGAACTGCGGTTGGGATTTTTTTGGTCACGCGTTAGTGACAGGGCCTGTGACAGGCAGTGACCAGAGTCTGAAGAAATCATCCGCCGGGAGTCCGACTCTGCCAGGGTTTGAGGTCCACGTGGATCGCCCGGCTTGCGGGACTCAGGGCTTGAGAACCGGGCGGGGAAGTTTGTGTCGGTGAACTCCGTGCTCCGTGTCAAGGAAGCCTGGGTTAGGGAATGTCCCTGTTGGTTTCTGGGGCAGTTTGGGGTTTCACATTGCATTCATTGTAGGATTCAGTCATAGAGACGCGGGGATTGTCACTGTTGAGACGGTCAGGGCCCTAAACTTTGAATGTCGGAAACAGACAGGAAGACATCGCTTCCTTACTTAATGCAAACCCTCCTTCAGGTTCAAGTCCGTCCTTCCAGACCTCACTAAAAACGTTTGTGTCTCCCGCATCACCACTCTTCTCACTGTCCCCACTGTCACCGAGTAACCTAGTGACATGTTTAATGTTAAAGATGTAGTTTTTGTTGTTCTTGCCTCCAAGTTTACAGTATTTCTTGTGGATATTTCCCCTTACGGTTATTCTGAGTCACGAAAAAGCACTTTCTTTACCTTATGTTCTGTTCCGCCGTGAGAAACCTTTTTTTTAAATCGTACTTTGTTTTTTTACATTTGGGATAATCTGTATAAGAACAATCGATTGTATCACTTAATTTCTCATGTTCAACATATTTGCATATGACATGATAGTATACATTTTTTAATCATTGCAATAGTATCAGCATCGCTTGGTGTCTGGAATCAGATGTATTCATTTATTTAAGTAATAGTGATAAAGTACTCAGAAGTATTATAATTTCAGTAACCCGTTTTGATTTTCCGATGACACAGATTCTCCTATTCCACTTAAAAATTGTGGCCTCTCTCCCTTTTCTTTTGGTTTCAGAGATATCTGGCTACGTCTATTTCCTAACAAAATTTTTTCCTTGACACTTTTTTGCAATTACAGTTGGTGTTTTTCTGTTTCCTTTTTTACTATAGAAAAGGAAGTCTTTTGTTGTTAGTTTTATTGAGGTTTAATTTACTTACCATACAATTGCGGTGATTTTAACTGAATTTCTAGAGTTGTTCGACCATCAGCACAATCAATTTTAAAATAGTTTCATCATCCTCGATAGTCTTTGTCCTCTATACACTCAGCCTCCACTCCTACCCACAGCTGTGCATAACCAGTGATCATCTTCCTGCCTCTCTTAATTTGCAATTTCTGGACATTTCATATAAACAGTCATAAAATATATATAGACTTGTGGTTGCTTTTTTTCATTTAGCATATTTTTGAGGTCTACATTATGATTATTACTAAGCTTCCCATTTTTAAAGTGATTTATTGAGTCTACTGCCATGAACCCTGAACAAGCCCCATCCCATCTGATCTCGAGAGCTAAGCAGGGTCGGGCCTGGTTAGTACTTGGATGGGAGACCACCTAGGAAGACCAGGTGCTGTAGGCGTAAAAAATAAAAAAATAAGGGATTGTAAGCTGACAAGATCCTTGCAATCTGTGAGGTCAACCAAGGGCTGCCTTGCCTAAAAAAAAATAATAATAATAAAGTGATTTATTGATGCAAAATTGAATGTAATAAGCTATACATACTTAAATCGTATAGATTGGTAAATTTGACATATATATTCATGGAACTACCACCACAATGAAGATGGTGAACTTACCCATCACCTCTAGAAGTTTTTTTGTGCCCCTTCTAAATCCATTTCTCTCATATTTCCCCTCCCTTCCCTGAGCAACCACGGATCTGTTTTTCATTACTAAAGTTTATATTTTTAAAAGATTAAAATGAAATCATACTGTATATACTCGTTTTTATTCTGATTTGTTTCCATCAACATTAATATTTTGAGATTCATCTCTGTCTGTATCAATAGTTCCTTTTTGTTGCTTGGTATTCCATTGTAGGAATACCATTTATTCTGATGAGTTTATTAAGTCACCCATTGATGGGCAATTGTGTTTTCAATTTTTAGCTATTACAAATAAAGCTCTGAACACTCATGTTCAAGTCTATATTTACATATGTTTTCCTGTATCATGGGTAAAAATCTCTAGGAATTGAATGGCTAAGTCATGGGTTGTTTGGTGTCTTTACTTCCTTTCCAACACTTCATATTGTCACTCTATTTTTAGACATTCTGATAGGTATGAAGCAGTATTTTGTACTTTTTGATTTATTTATTTTTTTACCCCCTTGCACTTTTAATTTGTATTTGCCTGATGATGGCTAACGATGTTGAATATCTTTTCATGTGCTTATTTGTCATCCATATATTCCTTGGTGAGGTACCTGTCTAGGTCTTTTGCAATTTTCTGTTGTATTTTCTTGTTGATTTTGGAGAATTTGTTATATATTCTGGGTACAGGTCATTCTTTACCAGTCATGTGCTTTGCAAAGATTTTCTCCTAGTCTTTGACTTGCCTTTCAATGTTCTCTTAACAATATGTTTTGAAGAGCTGGTGGATTTAGTTTTTATGAAGTCTAATGTATGAACTTTTTTTTAAATGAATTATTCTTTTGGTGTGCCGCGTCCAGCAAGTGATAAATCCTGCCATGTCCAGCGTGGCTCTGGAAAATATACCTGAGTGGGAACGGTGGGAGATGAAGAAAAGAAAGAAGACAGAAAGCAGGGATCGGGAGGTCCAAAGTCCACCGAATGGTGAACAATGGTCCAGTTTTATTTTTGCAAGCTGCTTTTGTACAAGAACATACTAGTTGGCATAAGCAGTTTCCCTTAGGCATAATAACACTGTTTCTTCTACTTTTTCCAAACCATATGGTATCATGACCTTCAGCTCGTTTGCCTGCCTGCGGCTATATCTGTACTTTCTTGTTCTCAGAAAGAGTTTGCGGAGGCGAGATAACCCTTGGTTGCCCTCGCAGACTGTAAGGAACTTATCGCAAGAACATACTAGTTGGCATAAGCAGTTTCCCTTAGGCATAATAACACTGTTTCTTCTACTTTTTCCAAACCATATGGTATCATGACCTTCAGCTCGTTTGCCTGCCTGCGGCTATATCTGTACTTTCTTGTTCTCAGAAAGAGTTTGCAGAGGCGAGGTAACCCTTGGTTGCCCTCGCAGACTGTAAGGACCTTATCAGCTTACAATCCGCTCTCCACAGTGTTGTACCTAAGAAATCTGTTCCTAACCAAAGATCAGAGGATTTTCTCCTATGTTTCTTCTAGGAGTTTAGAGGGTTTTTTTTTTTTTTTTAGGGTTTTCATTTAGGCTTATTATCCATTTCGAGTTATGTATATGGTGCAATGTTGGCTCCAAGTTCTTTTCTTTCTTTTTTCTGTTTTTGCATATGCGTGTACACTCGTTCCAACATTTGTTGAAAAGCCTTTCCTCTCTCCACTGTAGCACCTTCTCAGAAAGGTAAAATGTCAGTTGACCTTATATGCGTGGATCTTATTCTGGACTCTGTCATAGGGTCCATTCTTTGTCGATTTTGACATGAATAGCACCCCATCTTAATTACCGTAGCTCAGTAAAAATTCTTGAAATCGAGTAGTATCAACTCACCAACCTTATTCTTTTTCACAGTTGTTTGGCTATTCTAGACCCTTTGCATTTCTGAATTTAACAATGATACTCTCCGTTTCTACAGGAAAGCCTGCTGTGATTATGGTTGGGATTTTATGACTCTATAGACCAATTCTGGAGAATGGTCTATTTGGTTCATGTGAGAAAATGGTTCATTTTCTGACATGAGCAAGATATCCATTTATTAAAGTCTTAAAATTTTCTCAGTAGATATAGTTTTCAAAAGGTCTTTTACATTTTCGGTAATGTTTTTTATAAGTATTTCACATTTTTTTGATGGCATTGTAAATAGTAGTAAGTTTTTAAAAACTAAATGATCTCTTAAAATGAGTTGGGAGAGATCCTCTCTTCGGTTTTCATCCTGAATAATCCATTGGTAGCATATAATGTATTTTGCTGATCAAACTCAGTGAAATTGTTTTGAGTTTGAGACTATTATGATTAATGTTGCTATATACATTCCAGCACAATTTGGACATGTTTTCCTTTCTGTTCGTTAAATTTCTCTGAGTGGCATGGCTAGTTCATAAGATAAGTATATGTGTAACGTTTTTAAAAGTTTCCGAAGTGCCTTTACCACTTTACATTTCCACCATCATTGAGTGAGAGTTCCAGTTCCTCCACATTCTTATTAACATTTGCAGTTGTTAGTCTTTTTGATCATAGTCATTTTAGTTGGTATGTACTAGAATTTCATTATCATCTTTATTTTCCTAATGACAGA